ATCAATGGTTCTCGAGTGCCAGTCCCGCCCAGGGTATAGGCTCGAGGCGTGACATTTTTGAATTTCACCGGATTCAAATAATTGCTCTAACTTTTTGGCTTGGTGATCACGAAGTAAGTCTCTACGCTTGAAAGATCCTCCAACAACATTCAACACATTACTAACATGATCAAAAAAGTCTTCAACATCCAAATGTTTTTTAGCAATAGCCACTAGTGTTAGTTGCAATTGATGAGCAAAACAATGAATGTAATATGCCGATGGACTATCTTTCATAATCAAAGTTTTGAGCCCATTTATCTCTCCTTTCATATTACTAGCCCCATCAAAACCTTGTCCACGTATTTTGGTTGGACTTAGTGAGTGAACGGAAAGCAAAGAATAAATCGCTTTCTTCAATGAACATGCCGATGTATCACTAACATGGACAAGACCGATAAATCGTTCAACTACTTCACCATTCTTATTAACAAAACGCAAAACAAGAGCCATTTGTTCTTTGTGAGAGATGTCTTTTGACTCATCAACTAATATACCAAAGTAATCTCCATTCAAGTCCCCAATTATTGCTTTCAATGTTTCTTTTGCACAAGCATTGGCAATATCTTTTTGAATCATAGGACAAGTCAACGTATCATTTTGTGGGGCATTTTCCAATATCACTTTTCCAACATTCGGATGTTTGTCCCCGTGCCATCGCAAAAATCCTAGAAAGAAGCCTTGATTAATTGAAGATTCACTTTCATCGTGACCTCGAAAAGGTAATCCATATTGCAAAAGAAGTCTTGACACATCAATTGAGGCTTCCAAACGCATTCGATACTCATTTTTTAACTTTTGAGAATGCTTATCAATAACAACTTGAATTGATTGATGATGATTTGACAAATCTAGCATCTTGTTGAAACATTTGTCATGAATACTATTAACATCACCAACATGTTTACGGAATCTTTCAAGTGCCCTATTCCAACTCCTAAAACCCGTTTTTGTGTAAAACTCACTTGTACTTCCATGGAAAAAATCATCTTTGAATAAATAACAACATAGACAATAGACAGAATCTTTCTCCACGCTATACTCCAACCATTTAGAATATGGACCTTCAAACCAAATTTTACAAAATTGACGCATTCTTTTTCCAATTTCAGTTGGAGGATATGAATCCATTTTTGGTTGACAAGGCCCTTTTTGAATATAATGTTTCCTCACTTCATCCTTTATTTGAGGGTTATAGTGAGCAATTGGTACTCTTTTTCCTGGATCGGCTTCAAGTGAATCTAAATTAAGGTCATCTATAAGACTAGAAGGATTGACATTCGTACTAGAACTTGCTTGAGAATGGTTAAATTTCACAAGAAACTTCTCCATCTCAATTCACAAAACTAGAACACTTTCCTACAAAAATTAAAATTCAATTCAACTCACAATTAATTCAAATTTAATAGGGTAAGGCATAGTTAATTCAAATTAACATGATTCATATCACACAATTTTTAACCAATAATGTCTTACATGTTCATTAGAAATTTAGAATATCAAAGTAAAATCAAAACTCTTGTCTAATATGAAATCAATCATCACTGATTAAAACTTAAAAGAACTCAAGAAATAGAAATTAAAAAAAATCTTACAAAAATAGAATTGCAAACTTACAATCTATAAAAAGTTGTGGATGGATGGAGAAAAGTGAAAACAAAAGCACCCAAATGAGGCTTAGCCGCTGAACGGAATGCTAAGACGGGCGGGGGGCGGCAACGACAAGAAGTGATTTGGGTTCCGAATGGGGTAATAAATTTTTTGGAAAAGTTGAAACTTGGAGGAAGAAGGGTTTGGAAATAGTTGAAGAGAAAGAGAACACTTCTAAGTCAAAGGAGTAATGTAATTAATTTAATTTAAGTCAATAACAATTATAAAATAAAATAAAATAATGTGCCAGCTGTTTTCCTTTAAAAAAAAAAAAGGGATTGGAGCCTTTTTTTCACTTAAAAAACGTCTTCAACAATTTTTCAAAAAATAGGTTCAAATGGGATTCGAACCCGCAACCTCAACCTTCTAAAGTTGCCCTCCTACCATGGCACCACAGGCCTATTTTGTTCTGTGGGTGGCACACTTTATATTTATATAAATATTATGTATATATACCTATGTATATATAGAGTTTCCGTCGAAGTTCCGGGGGTGGCCGTGGCACCCCCACTGCCCTTCATAGGTCCGCCCCTGCAGCAGTGAGTTGCTTGTCTGATCACAGAACTGATCATCCTTCAATGGGTTCAATGCTGTGGAATCTTGAGTACTGCCTTCAGTCGCAAAGTGGTCCTGATGAACCGAAAATGGTGGTAGAACAGAAAGCTAATGATGATTATGCTATGCATACAGAATTGTTGACGATTGCTGAAAAAGGTAAGGAGTCAGAGGAGCACAAAACGTTGAGACTACTTACGGAAGGGTACTAAAGAAGGCAAAGAATTTCATCTTGTTAATTGAAAAACTGCTTAACTAAGCAGAGAGCATGATAGACTGCGTTTACACAAATATACAGACAGTCTATTCGTCATAGACTCAAAACACATAAACAGTTAATTCATCACATGGAAAATTTCGTACACAAACAGGTTTACATGTATGAGTCACAAACAGGTTCACAAACATGTTTAAACCCAAGAGGAGGTAAATAAATGCTAAACATATAACGTTTACATGTTTGACAATATGTGATTTTTCTATAGAAATAGCAGGTTGCATTATTATGGAGAAAAATACTATTAAGATGTCAACTTAGAGGTAGACACAATCATTACTACCTTTTTTAACATATAGTTTCATAATAAAATAAATATATTTTTTAATCATGTAAGGTAGCATCTATATGAACACTATTAAGTATAGAAGATTGAGAAACTTATATCAATTAAATCAAGTACTCCGATATGAAGGAAGTACACAACACAATACAAATACAAGTAAAACTCTTAGTTAGCCACCACTAATATTTTCCCAAATTTTTGCACACAACGTTGAGACTACTTACGGAAGGATACTAAAGAAGGCAAAGAATTTCATCTAGTTAATTGAAAAACTGCTTAACTAAGCAGAGAGCATGATGGACTGCATTTACACAAATATACAGACAGTCTATTCGTCATAGACTCGTAAGACATAAACAGTTTATTCATCACACGACAAATTTCGTACACAAACAAGTTTACAGATAAGAGTCAAAAACAGGTTCACAAACAGGTTTAAAACCAAGAGGAGGTAAATAAATGCTAAACATATAAAGTTTACATGTTTGACAATATGTGATTTTTCTATAGAAATTGCAGGTTGCATTATTATGGAGAAAAATACTATTAAGTTGTCAACTTAGAGGTAGACACAATCATTACTACCTTTTTTAAAATACAGTTTCATAATAAAATAAATGTATTTTTTTAATCATGTAAGGTAGCATCTATATGAACACTATTAAGTATAGAAGATTGAGAAACTTATATCAATTAAATCAAGTACTCCGATATGAAGGGAGCACACAACACAATACAAATACAAGAAAAGCTCTTAGTTAGCCACCTCTAATATTTTACCAAATTTTTGCACACAACGTTGAGACTACTTACGGAAGGAAAATAATTTCATCTTGTTAATTGAAAAACTGCTTAACTAAGCAGAGAGCCTGATGGACTGCCTTTACACAAATATACAGACAGTCTATTCGTCATAGACTCGTAAGACATAAACAGTTTATTCATTACACTACAAATTTCGTACACAAACAGGTTTACATGTATGAGTCACGAACAGGTTTAAAACCAAGAGGAGGTAAATAAATGCTAAACATATAACGTTTACATTTTTGACAATATATGATTTTTCTATAGAAATTGCAGGTTGCATTATTATGGAGAAAAATACTATTAAGATGTCAATTTAGAGGTAGGCACAATCATTACTACCTTTTTTAACATATAGATTCATAACAAAATAAATGTATTATTTTAATCATGTAAGGTAGCATCTATATGAACACTATTAAGTATAGAAGATTGAGAAACTTATATCAATTAAATCAAGTACTCCGATATGAATGGAGCACACAACACAATACAAATACAAGAAAAGCTCTTAGTTAGCCACCTCTAATATTTTCCCAAATTTTTGCACACAACGTTGAGACTACTTACGGAAGGATACTAAAGAAGGCAAAGAATGTCATCTTGTTAATTGAAAAAACTGCTTAACTAAGCAGAGAGCATGATGGACTGCGTTTACACAAATATAGAGACAGTCTATTCATCATAGACTCGTAAGAAATAAACTGTTTATTCATCACACGGCAAATTTCGTACACAAACAAGTTTACATGTATGAGTCACAAATAGGTTCACGAACAGGTTTAAAACCAAGAGGAGGTAAAAAAATGCTAAACATATAACGTTTGCATGTTTGACAATATGTCATTATTCTATAGAAATTGCAGTTTGTTTTATTATGGAGAAAAATACAATTAAGATGTCAACTTAGAGGTAGACACAATCATTACTACCTTGTTTAACATATAGTTTCATAATAAAATAAATGTATTTTTTTAATCATGTAAGGAAGCATCTATATGAACACTATTAAGTATAGAAGATTGAGAAACTTATATCAATTAAATCAAGTACTCCGATATGAAGGGAGCACACAACACAATATAAATACAAAAAAAGCTCTTAGTTATCCACCTCTAATATTTTCCCAAATATTTGCACACAACGTTGAGACTACTTATGGAAGGATACTAAAGAAGGCAAACAATTTCATCTTGTTAATTGAAAAACTGCTTAACTAAGCAGAAAGCATGATGGACTGCGTTTACACAAATATACAGACAGTCTATTCGTCATAGACTCGTAAGACATAAACTGTTTATTCATCACACGGCAAATTTCATACACAAACAGGTTTACATGTATAAGTTACAAACAGGTTCACAAACAGGTTTAAAACCAAGAGGAGGTAAATAAATGCTAAACATATAACGTTTACATTTTAGACAATATGTGATTTTTCTATAGAAATTGCAGGTTTCATTATTATGGAGAAAAATACTATTAAGATGTCAACTTAAAGGTAGACACAATCATTACTACCTTTTTTAACATATAGTTTCATAATAAAATAAATGTATTTTTTAATCATGTAAGGTAGCATCTATTTGAACACTATTAAGTATAGAAGATTGAGAAACTTATATCAATTAAATCAAGAACTAAGATATGAAGGGAGCACACAACAAAATACAAATACAAGAAAAGCTCTTAATTAGCCACCTCTAATATTTTTCCAAATTTTTGCACACAACGTTGAGACTACTTACGGAAGGATATTAAAGAAGGCAAATAATTTCTTCTTGTTAATTGAAAAATAGCTTAACTAAGCAGAAAGAATGATGGACTGCATTTACACAAATATACAGACAGTCTATTCGTCATAGACTCGTAAGACATAAACAGTTTATTCATTACACTACAAATTTCGTACACAAACAGGTTTACATGTATGAGTCACAAACAGGTTTAAAACCAAGAGGAGGTAAATAAATGCTAAACATATAACGGTTACATGTTTGACAATATGTGATTTTTCTATTGAAATTGCAGGTTGCATTATTATGGAGAAAAATACTATTAAGATATCAAATTAGAGGTAGACACAATCATTACTACCTTTTTTAACATATAGTTTCATAGTAAAATAAATGTATTTTTTTAATCATGTAAGGTAGCATCTATATGAAAACTATTTAGTATAGAAGATTGAGAAACTTATATCAATTATATCAAGTACTCCGATATGAAGGGAGCACACAACACGATACAAATACAAGAAAAACTCTTAGTTAGCCACCTCTAATATTTTCCCAAATTTTTGCACACAACGTTGAGACTACTTACGGAAGGATACTAAAGAAGGCAAATAATTTCATCTTGTTAATTGAAATACTCCTTAACTAAGCAGAGAGCATGATGGACTTCGTTTACACAAATATACAGACAGTCTATTCGTCATAAACTCGTAAGACATAAACAGTTTATTCATCACACGGCAAATTTCGTACACAAATAGGTTTACATGTATGAGTCACAAACAGGTTCACAAACAGGTTTAAAACCAAGAGTAGGTAAATAAATGCTAAACATATATAGTTTACATGTTTGACAATATGTGATTTTTCTATTGAAATTGCAGGTTGCATTATTATGGAGAAAAATACTATTAAGATGTCAACTTAGAGGTAGACACAATCATTACTACCTTTTTTAACATATAGTTTCATAGTAAAATAAATGTATTTTTATAATCATGTAAGGTAGCATCTATATGAA